TTGGCTTACTGGTATAAAGTGGAGGACATGCGTCAGGATAAGGCCGGTCCTCACAGAAACACATGAATCCTGGCGGGCTCTGATTATATCCGCACCGGCCACCTGACTCCATGCACGGTGCGCACCCATCTGCAGTCCATGACACATTAAAACCCGCCTCCACAACTCCTGCATAAGAGTCGGAAGAAAGTCTCAAATCCGACCTCTCTAAAACTGGAACCTCCACCAAAAACCGACAACGTCGATAATCATCTGGATAAGCCGCGCCAGAAGGCATGGCAAAAGAATTTTCTCCGAGGCAAGTCGCCGGTGGCAAGCTACTAAGCGATGCAGGACAATCCGTGTAAACCAGAAGCGTTATGACTCCAGCAGAGTACTGGAATGGAGAATTGTCGAGGGTGACATTATGTCTAGGATTGGGGCATTCCGTAGTGTTAATTATGCTTTCAGCTACTACGGAAATGGTGCTAGTCTGGTAATCGATATGTGTCACTTGGTATAATTGATTGTTCAAGTTTAGGAGGGGGGTGTTGTTGGTGCAATTGAGATTGAAGCCACTAGAAGTGCAGAATTCCGGCCGTTGGTCATCGACCGCGAAAGGGTAGTGGATACTAATGGGACCACAATCGTAAGCGCCACAGGCCTCATACTGGGAATCCGCAGAGAAAACAGGAACCCAAAAGAGAGGAAGGAAAACAAGTAGAGCAACAGGTGGTCTTGAACGAAGCAAGTGGGTGTTTAGAGAGAGAAACCCAAGCATCAAGTGGGTGTTTAGAGAGAGAAACCCAAGCATGGTGGCAAGAGCAGGAAGAAGCAGATAGAATGCTCGATGGATGCAACCTGAAGAAGCAGAGAGAAGAGAGAGAAAGCTCGATGGATGCAACCTGACGATCTCTTCCTCATTCACTAATTAATGGGCTTTTACTTTGAAACGCGCATTCGTATGAAGATGTGTTTGCTGCGAGCAAGAGGAAGGTGCTCGGTTATTGGAGGAGATTGGCAAGTGATGGAGCTGGTTTGAATTGTATTAATCGAGAGGAAAAGTACGTCCAGCCACCAATTGCATTAATGGAGAGGAAAAGTACGTCGAGCCGCCATAGTTTGACCAGGTTGGGTTTATTGCCTATAAAGTGAGAATATTTGGGTTCTTTTAAAAAATATAGGCAATGATAGCCCACCTAATAGGGGTGGGAATGGGTCGGGTGGGGTCTGGGTATGCCTGGAGCCGGATCAAGACCCGACCGACCCGACCCCAAATTCATACATGAGAGACTTAGGTCGGGTCTAAAATCTCGGGCAACCGGAACCAAAAATTACTTGGGCAATAATTTATCAACTTTTTAATAAGAAGATTTGTAAAAAAAATGAAAAGCATGTACAAAATAATCTATATTAATATATATATAACCAGCGTTTTAAAAAACGCCGAGTCCTCGAAAATCGTGAAAAGGGACCGGATCGGTTAAAAAATCGAAAATCGTCCGGTTCTAGAGAGAACCGGACGATTCCGCACAGTGACTCGCCGATTCACTGTGCGGAATCGGCGAGTCCGTGAAGAACACGGGTTGCACAGTGTTCTTCACGGGATTCTTTGAAATTTGTCATTTTTTGATCATTTTTCTTGTTTTTTTTTGGCATGTGATCTGATTTGCAGGCTGTAAACAGCTTTATTCAGCTTTTTCAAGGATTAAATGGTGGAAAAATTTGTTGTTTTTGGATCACGAAAAATTCGGTGTTTAGGGTTTCCGCCTTTTCTGAAATTTCATGCCAAATAGGGCATGAATCTTTCAAAATTTGTAGGCATTTTGATCTTAAAGCTGTGAATCAAAACCTTTTGTTACTAATTTGTGATAATCGTTAAGAAAATCAGAGTTTTTTGGAGATTGAAGGCTTCGGTTCACAAAATCAGGTAAGAACTTTGGGTTTTTTTTTTTTCCACCATTTGATTTATTTCACGGCATATTTTGAACATAATGAGTTCAATAATTAGGGTTTTTAATCTTTATTGTGTCTAGTATGATTTAAAATTTTCAATTTTATGTAATCTGGTCAATTACAGCAAAAAATTTGATATGAACACTGAGATGTCTGCGGAACCAAATTCCGCTGTTTTTTTTTTTTTTTCCGCCTTTTGATTTTGTTTTCATGATATATTAGAAATAATGTGTTAAAAATTTAGGGTTTTGATTCCTTATATTGTTGTTTATCAGAAAGTATACTCAATTGGATGTAATTTATTCACTTAGAGGTGAATTTTTGAGTTAAAATCGCTTATGTAAAACGACTCTGTGAAGAACATAAATTATTATTATTATTTTTTTTTTTTTGTAG